TGCGTCAGTGCAAGATTCAGTTTTTGTCAACTATACAACTATTCTGTTGCGTGATTCTACTTTATTGCAACCAAACTATTTCTTATGTATTGTATAGACGAAGTGAAGAATATACAGGGTGTCCGCAAAGTTGGGGTTTTCCTTTACACGACGTGTAGATCTTGAAAACATAAGCAATATTTCTTAGTACCATATACACCAATGTCTTAAGAGAACCGAGATAAAGGGCTCTGCAACATCAAAAATATTTGAATACCGTCCTGTCGATTTTCCAGCAAGAGTGCGGTTTTGTGAGTGATCGTTGCATCAACATGACAATAATCCGGACTTTTTGAAGTGCATATTGGTGACAGACGAATCTACGTTCACGCGTAATCGGGTGAATAACTTTCACAACACTCAAGTTTGGTCAGTAGAAAATCCGCACGCTGTCCGTCGGGCACATTTTCAACAAACATTTTCGGTGAATGTTTGGGCTGGCATGGTGAACGGTATGCTTGGACCATTTATTCTCCCAAATCGATTGGACGGGATGCAATACCTAGACTTTTTACGCAACATTTTGTCTTCCTTGTTTGTCTGCGTCTGCTCGGTAGCGCATCAGCTGATTTCATTTTCTGTTGCAGCGGTATGATTTGGGGCAGAGACGTACTTAGCCCTTCTCGTCAACTGGAGAGTGAGTACTTTTTCCTTTATTTTTTTTTACTTGGTCGCCCTCGTTTCACTACACATTACCTTTGTTATTTCAAGGGTAGCTGTTTCTGAAAAGGAAAACCCCAACTTTGCGGACACCCTGTATAACTAACACATTACAATCATCTTGTTTACTTACATATCGGCCATTGTGAATTTCATGCACAGGTATATTATAAACTTCTACACTGTGATATAGGGCTATTGAATTACTTGCGCAGCAAATTTTATTGTGATTATCGAGCAGATTAGTTATTCAATTTCTACGGGCTTCGTATTTGATTCATATTTTGACAATGATCAAAGGTATGTCTAGATTTTTAAGATGGAAAACTGAACTTATCTGTGTTAAATCTTCCACAAATCCTATATTTAGACACAATTACACTAATGTTTATCACTTTATATCTGTAATTTCGAACTGAAACATAATTATTTAATATTAAATAGAGGAATAAATGTTTCCCAATATGGCGGATGGTTGTGTACAATCATGGCATCGTCTTGAGGTTATTAGAACATTTTGGTGTTGCCTGCAGGTGTTATACAACAATTTGACAAATGTCTCAAATGAAATACCGACAGAGTCGAATGATTTACCCAGAATTTGTACCAGATCTATATCTTCTTTTGAACAGTTGATAAAACCTTTTGCATGCGTTGTTTGTCTTAAAACATTGATTATGGCATTTTACAAAAATATGACAGCAGAAAGTTAGGTTATGGTGAAGTTGTTTACCAACATAATTAGCATATGTACAGCCTTTAACAGTTACTAAACAACAGTTGTATAAGTGCTTCCGTTGGGAGCAATTTGTTGGCTAAAGAAGTAAATTGCACAGCAAAACAGCAAGGCTCGGGTTTGTTTTATAAACGTTACCATGGATGCTACAATACAACCATTTTGACTAACGTGCAAATATGCCGTATAAAATAGTTGTATAAACGTTTATGCAACAGTTAAAAATTTGCCCTATAAGGTGTTATATAACTATGCTATAAGAATATTTTAAACACTTCATTTTAGAGAAAATATGTTGCAGAAAGCAAATCTGCATTCCACACAACATTAAGCCAGCATTTTGGTGTTCAGGCAACAACAATAGAGAGCTTTTGTGGCTGAACGGTTCTTTTACCAAAAGCTTATACCACTACTTTGCTAGTTGGGATGATTACCGGGATTCGGAACGTATAAATTGCTAGTACCAAAAAATCGCTAAGTACCGTCCCCCACCTCCTACAACCCGCAACATCTAACTTCTAAGCGCTGCAAAAATTTTTCTGAAAATGACCAGCATCCTCTAAGACATCAAAAACCGAAGTTTGAGTTATTTTTAGTTTTTCCCTTCTTCTCCGCCGTCGCTGGGCCGACTTAAAGAAACTACGAATATTCTTCATTGCATAGTAGTTACCTTGTGTGAAAATTTTGTTAAAATCCGAGCGGACAGACAGGCAGACCGACAAAATGAGTCACATGGTTTTTCGTGATGTTAATGTCTTAAGAGTATAACATGTTCCAGATATAAGCTAATATCCAAAACAGTGTCAAATATGCCATTTAGACCCAGAAAAACAATATGAAAAAATGAAAATTTTAAGCTTACCAAAACTCCAAAGTGCTCTTAAAACACCAAGTACTAAAATCTCGAAGCATTTGTGGGGTATTGTTGAGCCCCTGAATGTTCAAAGTGACCCAAAGTGACCGTCCGGGACAAAAAAAGAATTTTTGCGATTTGCCTGAGAAAATGGTTTGATCAATTTTTGACCCAATTTTGGGCTTGGCGATATACAGTTTCATTAAAAGGGGTCCTTTTTGAATAAGATTTCAGAGCAGACGCGAAGACATTTCCTAGACTATTTTCATATGTTCTGACTTCGTCTGTACGATGTCTTATACCTACTGTACTTTCATACAAACAGCATATTTGTCATTCCATCCTTGTCAATATGTTCTATGAAGTATGCATGAACATACACATGATTTTTTTTAATAGGACTGGATAAGTATATCGAAGCATTAGTGTAGGTATGTTCACTCAAATATATAATGTGTGATCTGAAACTACTTAATATAAGTATACAAGATTCAAAACCCCCCATTCTCATCAATCCCCTATCCAGAATGTTCGACCTCCAAAAGTACAAAACATCTCCAAATTTTATTTTATTTTTGTTCCTTTTTTGCCCGTAGCTCCACCGTTACTGGATAATAATCACAATTCCCGAAGCTTTTGCATCCTAGGCATAGTAGTGAAACAGCATCATAATCTCATCAAAATACGACGACTTATAGAGGGACCAATGGTTAGCGGACAAATAGGCAGACAAATACAAATAGCTATACTAATAATACGGGTTATCCTGATGTGCGCGATATGTAACATCCAGACAACAATATGTCAATTTCTGAACTGAGAAGTGTTAAACAGAAAAGTAGTTTCAACAGTAAATGAATACTTCTACAAAAAGAAAATATTTGTATTTACCCAGGAAGCTCCACTGCAAGGCCTAGATTTTGAAAAGCTGAAACACATGCATCACTTGTATAGCTTTGGAAAGTGTCTTAGAGATCCAATTATGCCTTAAAATGTGGGTAGAATATTCAGATTCGAAATTTAAGCAAGTGGTAAGCAATAAGATATTGCAATCTATTTTCTCATATCATTGGTACAGCCCACATCAAATTGAGATATGTGCTAATTAGAGGTTATGCGGTTAGGTATCTACAACTGCAAAATTAACCGCAAACCAGATAGAACTCCGCATATCGTAACGTATCCGTTTATAGTAGGAAGTGTGCCGATTATGTTGTTTTGCATCCCAAAAGCTTCCAACATTGCAAGACCAGACATATTTTGGTACATGTGACTTTGCATTGATTCTGTGGTTTTACCTAATATCTTTCCCATTTGTCATACATAATAATTTTGTCTTGGCATCACACTGCCAAAATGTATCGATTTGGCCAGTAAATTATTTCTTATGTGTCCTTTTAACTACTACATGTTCATTGAAAGAATGGCATATCCGTATCATCAGGTATCACATATAGACTGTAAAGATTAAGAGTAAAATTGAATCCCAGATATTCATTGAAAATAGTTCTAAAGACCGACGTTATTCGAGTCTCATTTCCTGTAACCCAGTAAATTTGGATCCGTTTAACAAAAATTGTAAACCAAAAGGAATATACCTATCGAATTTCATGAATCAACAACACTGAATATGCGTTCGGGTAGTATATTTTAATTTGTTGTACAAGCTTCACAACAAAACAGCGTAGATGCCGTAACCTAACATGCTTCACTTTTGTTTCTAAATTATAACCTTCAATATGTTTGGCAGAAAACAGCCATCCATACCAAGTAGGAAGAAAAATCTAAATTAGACAAAGCTCATAATAATGTCGATGACTTATGTTTAAAGTTAAAAATGGCTATGTGAAAGTAATTTACAGATATTTTATTTAAACAATTTACAGAAAATGTACTTTAAGTATCGGAAAGCAGAATATGTGTAAGAATATCAGCTACTCAACCAATCGATATGACAGTAGAGCATAGTCGGGATCAATTCAAAGTCCACTCAGAACTTGGATTAGTTTGCCTGATAATAGTGAAAGCCGGGATTCACAGCCTGCTACTAAAAAGCACAAGAAAAAACATATTTGACTAATAACACCGTACTATGGCAGGTAATTCAATTAAACAATAATGCCAATACCTGTCATAACGTTATTCAGTGGCAGTACTCATCAACAAACAATTTACCCTCATACCAAACAGTCCAGCAAAAGATAAGTGTCACTATAATTCAACACAGTATCATGTCACTTTTAATAGTGGTATATAAAAGACTTCTAACCAAATATGCTAGATTTGTTCTCCTATTAGCAGTGTCTAATATGTATTCGTCATAACACCATGCAACATCGATGATGGCTTAAAAACGACCATGAAGGACTCTTTCATACACAGAATCTGTGCTATGTACTTAGATATAACTGTGATGCATCACCATGCATGTCACTAAAGCCTTATGGTAGTACACTTGGAGAGAGGTTCTTAAAGAAGTCTAAAATTGTCTGTGTAGAGGAATAATCTATACCAAGGACATTTTGGAACGAAATTGACAGAAAATAAAAAAGTCCAACTAGTACCACTAGCTCACTGTTGTACCTGCGATAATTTCATCCATGTTAATATATCACTAGTCACGGAGCCACAGGCGTCAAGTGACAAAATATACAGGAATTCAAAAAACATATTATCGTCCATAACGCAATCACCGAAACACTAAATCCATACCTGTCATAATTTCATCCAACATCAGTGACCGTTCAACACACAACATCAAAGTTCATCTCCATCCACTTGAACTGTCCTTCATGAGCGTCACTATAATACGGCACTATAATACCATATCACTAATCACTGTCCAATAAAGTCAATGACAGTTGTAGAGAGTGTCACGCAACGTTTGCCCTCGTTTTCGACACTGGATTCAGGATGCTCCAGGGAAGCGCGAAGCTTCCCTGTGTGCTAGGGGCGTGTCACAAGGGGAGGAGCCCGGTAGGATGGGCTATCCCGCAGGATAATATCCCCTCCATCTCGCTGCCGTACCCGGATGCCTCTGCCAGCTCAGCGATGCTGCCGATGTGCAAGTTTCTACGGGGCTTTTTGGATAAGCTGCAAAGCAGTTTAGATATTTCGACTCCGCCAGATCACACCGAGCAAAAAGAATTAATTAGGCGGGCACAAAAAAAACAAAAAGAACTAATGCAGGAAAATTAAAAATGAACTAAGGGTAGGAAAGTATGAAAATGGGGATGAAAGAGCGGAAATGAAAATAGTGAAGGAGGAGATAAATCGGAAGGCGGAGTAACAACTCATTCTCTCGTGGCTGTATCTGAGCAAAATATCTATCGAAATTTTAGATTTATGACACATTTACGATCAAGACAATCTTATATCCGCAACTTAATTGTCGATCTCGTTCATTATCAGTCGATCTTGCGATAAAAGCGGAGGCCAAGATAACAGCAGTCCGACTATGGAGTCAAGATAGGCAATCCGTTTTGTCTCAACACCAGGCACAGGAAACCAACTGCATTACTACGAAGTTTCCGTTCGTCTGTCATAGTCAAACAACCAGAAGATCTCCGAAGCAGTCAGGTAGGTTAAGTTCACATATGGATTACACACATGAAGAAGATTTTGGAATCAGAGCAAGTGTGAATGTTCTCTAATAGACAGTCTCGGCACCCATCTTCATCGTCGGACCGCCGGTGATTCAGACCTCTTCTACCACTATGTCAACTGGCGTTGCTCCTCAGAGATGTCCTACTTGATGTTGGCCCATCAGCTTAGCCAAGTTGAACCTCATACATTCAGAACTTGCCGGTACGAACACTCCTTTGTCGTTAGGGTGCCGCGATTGTGACACAATCTGCCTGAGCAGGATTTTCCTATTTCTATTAACCTTGATCAGTTCAAAAATCGAATTAGAATGGTGTCATCAAAATCCTTACAGCAGTCGCGATGCCCCGGTATTTAGGCTTCCGCCTACGTGGCAGTTTCGGTATAAAAGAGGTTCACTACATTTTGCGTAGTACCACGTCATAACCAAGGAGGAAGTCTACGATACGGTGTCTTATTTAGGTGAGACTAGAATCTATCTGCTCTCAGAACCAGGTACAAATCAGAGTCAGATAAAAATCCAGTTAATGTTGCAAATCTCACTATCCTGGTTAGCCTCAAATAGTATAACGCCCACACGAGAGCTATGGATTCATAATCAGCAGTTAAGAGGCACCTAGTAAAGGACGATTCTGTCCATCTTCACCCAAAAGTCATTCGTAAGATTTCCTTCTTGAATCTATGTTATTCCATGTGAGGTGTGAGAAGCTGAGATCTGGCTTGCACGAGTTATGTTATGTGGGTTGCCTACCTTTAGGTCTGAGACCCTAGTGCCATATCTGTTTGCATATGGTGCCAACACTGTACCCGCGCAGCCTCATAAAAACTAAACTTCTGCAGCCTAAGCTTAGTTCGAATGATTTATACGGTCTTGTATGTCGTATATGATACTGTATAAAATATGGTACACCTTTACAACAATACGTGAGGTAATATGTCTACGCAAGAACGGGCATGCTTTCAAATCCATTGCTATTCCATGGTTGCTTTCGTTATGCAAGAGGTATGTGCTGCCCAAGAGCCGGAAAGTAGGCAACACACACATAACTAGTGAGAGCCACAAAAGCTGGCATGCAGTACCAATTTTACAAACGTCCCAGGTAGACATATTCCGCAATTTTACAGGAGGAATTGCAACCTAATAATTGGAGTTACACTTACTGATACCAGATTCATAGATAATTTTCTCTTTGATACTACTTTGACAAGAAAATCACGCTCGTTTACAAGTAATCGTATACGAAAGGTCGACTCGTTCATCTTCCCTCAGATTTTGCCCTCATAAATGTGGCAACACCGGCTAGACCCATCAAGCGAGCGCAACCGAAGGGCATTATCTTATTGACGTTGATAACTCTATTAGGCTGGCAGTTGTTTTGCTTTGTTAGGTTTTGTTTGTTGGCCGTGCCGTTGTAAAGGGCGGTTGGCGGGTTACAAAAAGGACCTGTTCATGTGGCCCTTTACAAACCTCGATCCTCGCTCGGGTCGAATTAAGCTTGCCGAATGTAAATATTTTACTATGGTTTCAGGTTGTAATTGTGCTTTGACAGTGGACGCGTGGACAAGCTGATAAGTAGATACCAAATCACACTGGTGATATTAAAGCTTCACGGAAACTTTAATCATAAAGTACTTACTACAATCAAGCATTTTGATTCCGATGACGTAGGAAATACTATCATGTGTTATTATTAGAGCTATAGCTTTTGAAGCATACACTGTATGTCGCTGGCATCCTTTTTAATCAGAAATAGCGTTGGAACCAAAACCGTGGTAGTTTGGGTATGAAGAGTAGTAGATTGTCACAGATATATTTTCACCGGAGGGGAAGTCAGTCACACATCTGCAAAGTTCCTCTGGAAGGCCACGCGATAAAGGCTTTTATACCACAATGATGATCAAAACCTTTTGTGATATGGACAGTCAACGCGTGCACTTCACTGCGTAAGTGTAACCTCCAGTTTGTGTAATATAAGCTAGGTGGGATTCAGTTGATTGGTGACGGAAAACATATTACCTGTCACTAATCATGTCACGATAGATACTAGAAATATCGTATATTCCAAAGCGTCCTACTAGTGCTCTTCTCCTTTACTTTGCTGCGACATACAACAGAGCTGACAAGTGTCTCTAGTACATAATACGCTTGATCATCTTATATACCGAAAACCACTCACGTCGTAATGTGTACGAGAAAGAAGCGCAATAAGCGTGCATTATGTATGCTAGAAAGAGTGCGCCAATCGCTTCTAGTATTCGGGTTGCTAGGCAACGAGGTGCTTCTAACTCCTTGTAACATACATATCGTACGGTTATAGAGCTACTTTCTCGTACACCTTATGTCGTCAGCCAAATTTGAATCTAATCGTATTTGCAAGGTGCTTCCCTCAAAATGTCATCAAAATGCTATAATCTTCTTGGAAGGGTCTGTCCGAATATGTAATAAATATGAAACATTACTTTAAAAAAATATTTTTTAAACTGACTGTCTTTCTTATACCTTATTGGACAAACTCTTTCAAAAGAATAAGATTGATATCACATACTATAAAGTTTTGATGTTTTTTTTGTTCAATATAGAAAAACGCTCAAGTTGGACATCCTGCCAATTGGCCACTTTGAAATAAAGTAATAAGGTTTCAGAAAAACCCCCATTATATTTGAAACATGTTATAACACGTACGATCAGGTATGGATCCACTAAGAAACATCTTTGAAGATGAGACTTATGGCCAAATGAAACCACATATATAGAAATGACGTTTTAATAACATTTCGGTAGCCTCGGTCGCCTGTTTAAAAGTACAAAGAAAATAACGTTTTTTATTTACCTACCAGGTGACAATTGATTTTTTTTCCGCTAGTATAAAGTCTGCTGCATCGTTACAATTTTAAAATGGTATCGGGAAGTAAAGTCCGGGATCGCCTAGGGAGAGCATTCCCGGCCGAAACACGGAGTTTTTTCAGAATGAATGCCACAGGATATGTTTCTAATATAATAAGAGCTGTTGCCCTCTTTAAGTAGGCTCAATATACTCCATTCCAACATCAACATACGTATACAGGATCTGCAAACGGACAGAGTTTGAGATTTATATTGGATCGAACCCTAGTGTAAGTTGAGATAGCATCAGTTTACAGTATTTCTTTCAGAGAGGACCACGAGTCAAAATGACCAAATTTAAATGCAATGCCCCGACTTTAAAGCGCACATTTAGATAAGACATGGCCATCCATTCTCGCTCTGGTTCTTTTGTTGGAAAAGTTTCGGTGGAAATCTACAGAGATTCGTCACCGGTTCGGAGCGGGCAACGAGATATATTGTATTCTATTTTATAAAGGGATAGAGATGTCGATATGTGGGATGAAGCCGAACTTGTTTGGTAGTTCTATGTCCGACTTCAGACATATTGACCGTTTGAGGGCTTGCAGTGCTATAAATAATCTTCAAAATCATCTGTGGGGGTTCTGATAAAAAACTTTTAATACCATGAACCTGGAGTATATAAATGGTCACATTTCATGAAATAGCTATCTAAATTTGACCATATCGCTAAATCGTCTACGTTTAACGATTTTGTCATCCACGATTTGATCATATCATAAAGCCGCAGAATATTTATTAAAAATCGAGAATTTGTTACGAACTCGTCTATTGTTCTTTAAGTAAGACAACTATTTTGATCAATACTAATAGCTTTAGGAAGTTAAAATAAAATAATTATATTAAAGCATTCATAAACTGCGCAACGTGTCTCAAATAAAAAATTTTAACCAGATAGCACGAATTAAGTCAATACCTTGCGTGGTCACCCTGCTTTATTTGACGTATAACTTAAAAATGACTTACAGTTGCCGGCACCTACCAAGTTTTACTCTCGGACAGGCAGATCTTCTAATCCTGAAAGTGAAAGCCAATAGGAACGCTCGAGATGGTGGAGAGTTGTACTTAATGTCATGTTATTGTTTCACTTGGCAGTTACGTGCTTTGAATTTTTTCACTTTGGTCATATGAATTTGAGAAAGTATCTTCAAGCAAAGTGAAATCTGCTTTATTTAAAAAAACATTAGTTTTGTTTGCGCTTAGGTCAATAATGAAACACTTGTATCTGCTATACTTATTACTTACAGTATATTCAGATAAGAGATAGACCGGATGTAAACAAAAGGTTCGGGTGATTTTCTCGCTAACGCCGCCGTCTCGACGTAAAACAGGAGCCCTCATTGGTCAATTCGCAATTAAATGCCTTTGCCGAGCGGCAGAGCAGTCGTATCAAGGCAGAGTCACATT